TCTTGTGTTATTCATGTACAAGGAAATGTTGCATAGTCTTGTGTTCTTATTCATGTAGAGGGGCATGTTGCATAGTGATGTGTTCTTATTCATGGACAATGGCATGTTGCATAGTGTTGTGTTCTTAATCATGTACATGGGCATGTTGTATAGTGTTGTGTTCTTATTCATAGACAAGGGCATGTTGCATAGTCTTGTGTTCTTATTCATGTACAAGGGCATGTTGCATAGTGTTGTATTCTTATTCATGTACAAGGGCATATTGCATAGTGTTGTGTTTTTATTCATGTACAAGGGTATGTTGCATTGTGATGTGTTCTTATTTATGGACAAGTGCATGTTGCATAGTGTTGTGTTCTTATTCATGTACAATGGCATGTTGCATAGTGATGTGTTCTCATTCATGTACAAGGGCATGTTGCATAGTGTTGTGTTCTTATTCATATACAGTGGCATGTTGCATAGTGATGTGTTCTTATTCATGTACAAGGGCATGTTGCATAGTGATGTGTTCTTATTCATGTAGAGGGGCATGTTGCATAGTGATGTGTTCTTATTCATGTACAAGGGTATGTTGCTTAGTGTTGTGTTCTTATTCATGTAGAAGGGCATGTTGCATAGTGATGTGTTCTTATTCATGTACAAGGGCATGTTGCAGTGTTGTGTTCTTATTCATGTACAAGGGCATGTTGCATAGTGTTGTTTTCTTATTCATGTACAAGGGCATGTTGCATAGTGTTGTGTTCTTATTCATGTACAAGGGCATGTTGCATAGTGTAGTGTTTTTATTCATGTACAAGGGCATGCTGCATAGTGTTGTGTTCTTATGTACAAGGGTGTGTTGCATAGTATTGTGTTCTTATCCATGTACAATGGCATGTTGCATAGTGTTATCTTATTTATGGACAAGGGCATGTTGCATAGTGTTGTGTTCTTATTCATGTACAAGGGCATGTTGCATAGTGATGTGTTCTTATTCATTTACAAGGGCCAGACTTACATCATAATTTAATACCACTGAGTAAACAATTTCTTGTAGTATTAATAGGATGCCCATCGTCCCAAAACCACACAGCTATGTGTTATTTACATGTTGATAATATATCCTACAGTTCAGGTCTTTCCAGTTAATATCTTGTCTGAGGGCAAGATCACACAGACCAGATGAAATGAGAATACCCGTAGGGTATTGTGAATACAGTACATACAGTACCATGTAATGATAGGAAATGTCAGGTGCTTACTCATGTAAGTTTCTCAACCAGTGACACCATTTGTACTCGCCATCAGAAGTGCCAGTAACAGCTAGCATGATCGAATATCAAAACCAAATGCTTCCTAACGACAGGAAGTGTATATGCATAAGGAAAATCTTATTTATTGGAAATGTTGAGATTGTTGTACATGCCAAGAAAATACACAGCATGCTAAACGGTCATTCTTGGGATTTATCCTAAATGGTGGCTATATGGATGTAAATTATGTGAATATTTTAATGTTGAAAATGAAGGAGTAAGGTATGTATTTTAATAATTTTCATCTACTATTTAATTTATTGCTGCTTTCTCTTTTAGACAAAAACTGAAGCTAAACAGGGGCAATAAGGTACAATGAAGAAAGGCTGAAATCTGACATATCTTGATACATTTTATTTTGATCATGAGGTGCAAGAAGAAAATTGCCATGGACTACATATACCAGTCTCTCTTTCCAAAACAAAACTGAAAAAAGCAGTTTGGCATAAGTGATGTAACCTCCCTATTGTCAGTGATCTGAAATGACATGCAGTAAAACCATTAATATTCATGAAACTGGAAGTTTATATTTATTGCACGCAATTTTTTTCCTATTTGTAAGTCAGTGAATTTTCAGATCAGCATCATTAAATGTAGCTAAAAGTATCTTATTCCTTTTAAATACTTTATGTGAAAGAGATTGGGTACTTTTAGCTTTATTTAATGAAAATTTACTGAGTTACAGATAGGATGTGTGGAATGAACTGTTGTGAAAAAGACGGATACTAGGTATTGTCTAGCCTCATCTTACCCTCAGCACCGATTGTATATTCAGATGAATGATACAAATTTTTTTACAAAATTTCCAAATTCAGCTTTGACTCTACATCATTTTACAGGCTGCAAAATACAGTAGAACATTTTCATATAAAAACATGAATGCTCTTCTATTCAAAATCAAACCATTGCAGAACAAATCCTGGAAATTCATTGAAGATTTTTGTCTGTTTGTCCTACAGTCTTAACTATCATATATTCTAATTACAGATTTTATTAATAATTAATTTTTTGCTTCTTGCTATTTCAGAAGAAAGGCTTTAAGTTCTGGTGCTACCTTGAAATGGATGATTCAGACTTTTCTTTTTGGGTTGTCATCATTAATGCTCCTGACTGCATATGATCCTCATTACAAAAAGACCGCCAAAGACTGAGGGCATGGTTTCAGCAAGGAATTATGGCACAGTAGTTATATAGGACAAATATATGATCATGTTACTGATATAATTACTTATTCAGGGTGCAGCACTTATTGAAAAATAGTGTGACCCAAAACGATACATTTTTTTGTGCTGTTACTCATCCAGGGACAAGACTTGATCAGCAGTGTGACTTACAACAATAATATATTCATTGATATTTCCACATTTTATGAGCTTTAAATTGCATGCTTGATTGTTTAATAACACTCCAAATTATTTTTTTAAAGAATTGTTATGACATATCTTTATTTTATTATTGAATCCAAAGACCCTGAAGTTTCTTTATGAAAGAGGATTTCATTTGCTAGCTTTTTTTGTGAATATTTGCCAGTATATTAATGTGGCATTAGCTTCAGATTTTTATATCATTAAAAGGAAATTTACATTATATCATTTATTTCCTGATTATAAAAGGTTATGCACTTTTATTGTTATTATAAAAAATAAAAGTTGTTTTAAAACAAAGAAGCAGTCTTGTTATCCAGCCATATAAATATTAATTTGCCGAGTCTCGTTACCATAGTTGCATCAGTGACAGTAATGCATTCTTTGCTAAATAATGTGACAGCATTCTCTGAGAGAAAAAGATTTGAGTTGGAACAAGAAAAAATATTGGGAAAATACCGTGGTTACATGAATCACTAGAATGCTGTGAAATGAGAGATTGGGAACAAAGACTACAATGAAGTGGTGAAATGTTAGTGGTGTTTATTTGATTGCATAACCAGGTGTTTCTGTATTCCCATTAGGACTAAATCGTAAAAAGTAATGATGGAGCCATCACAAATTATCTTTAATTACCTATCCATTTTATCATATGCACTTTAGAACAGATGCTTAATCTATATGTAACACAGATTGGAACAAGAAAAAGATTGGTCCTGTACCAAGACTGAACATACAAGTAAGGACACGTAACAAGGCAGTATAACCGAGATCAGTGCCTATGTATGACGTGTGAAAAGGAAGGAAATATTTCACACATAATCACTTTAAACTACCATTATATATATATATATATATATATATATATATATATATATATATACTTACCTACAAATCAGGGTCTATGTTCCTTATTCAAAATGCACAGACCCAGATCTGTCAGAGCATCATGTGATGGATCTGTGCAGTATGCAGTATGCAGTTGGAGTTGTCTTAAAATCAAGTACATTTGGTAGTTTGTTGCATAGAATACATGTAATTATGTTTAATGGTATCTTTTAACATGCTTTGTACATGGGTGATAATAGAAATGTTTTATCTTATATATCACATTTTAGAACCGTATGTAATTGCACAGAGAAGAGTGTAATTGAAACAGGTAAAACAAAAAATGTAATTACAGAATGGATAAGTAAACCTGTGTTGCCTTGTAAGTGTATACATATTTTATGAAATAAAGCTGAATTGAAGAATATATAACAATAAGAGGCGAAGATGAAATATAAGTACATGTATATCTATTAGTGTGAAAAACGTAACTGGCATGCAAGCTCTAGCATTAGATTTCACAATTTCAACATGTTTCAACACTAAATGAGTTAAGGTTCTTAAATATTTAACCTTTTGGATGTCGTTATAATGTCTGTACATTCAACCTTTTGGATGTCGTTTTATGTCTACATTCAACCTTTTGGATGTTGTTATATGACTACATTCAACCTTTGGATGTCATTACATGTCTACATTCAACCTTTTGGATGTCGTTATATCTCTGTACATTCAACATTTTGGATGTCGTTATACGTCTACATTCAACATTTTGGATGTTGTTATATGTCTGTACATTCAGCATTTTGGATATCGTTATATGTCTGTACATTCAACATTTTGGATGTCGTTATATGTACATTCAACCATTTGGATGCCGTTATATGTCTGTACATTCAATATTTTTGGAAGTCAATATATGTCTGTACATTCAATATTTTTGGATGTTATATGTCTGTACATTCAATATTTTGGATGTCATTATATGTCTGTACATTCAACATTTTGGATGTCATGTCTGTACAGTCATCATTTTGGATGTCATTATATATTATATGTCTGTACATTCAAAAGTTTTGGATGTCATTATATGTCTGTACATTCAACATTTTGGATGTCATTATATGTCTGTACATTCAACATTTTGGATGTCGTTATATGTCTGTACATTCAATATTTTTGGATGTCATTATGTCTGCACATTCAATATTTTGGCTGTCATATTAGTATTTCTACAGAACACTAGATAAAGAAAGTATCATCAGATTAATGTGTGTGTGTGTGTGATTTGGATTTTAAATGTTGCTTTAACAAATTTTCAGCCATATCGCTAAGACGTCTGCAGGGTGGCAGTTTATAGTGGTGTCTAGCACTGAGGCATCATGCCGCATGTAGCATGATGTCCCACCCAGTCACATTATCCTGACACCAGGCCGGACATGTCTAACACTAACTCTTAATACTGAACACCTAGCAAGGCATTTGTTATTACCATATTTATAAGTTTTGGGTATGACTCTGCCATGGATTCAAACACATGACCTTTCACATCCGAGGTGGACACTCTAACCACTAAGCCACCGGAGCAGTCACAGCCTATTAATTGTGAACAGAATGGATATGTTTCATGTAAAAGTACATCAAAAAAATTTTAGAAATGCGTCAAAACAGAACGCTTCATAAAGGATGGACCTGTACTGAGAAATATAGGTTGGAACATGGATAGTTACAAATTTAAATTATTTTAACATACCAAGGACATTGGCATGGCCACTGTGCATCCTAATTGGAAAAGACTATTCATACAACTGACGGCCACCTTGAAACTCATCTGGAAACGGCCTCCATGTAAAAAATTTATGTAAAGCTATTTGTATTGATGCTGCTAACCTGTTTTACAAAATATTCTCATTTTTCAACTGATTTGCTACCTTTGACTTCATATTTGTAAGTCATTGTTGTTAAAACTTATTCACATCTGGTACAATTTTTCGAATATAGAGTTAATCTCATATGCGAAAAACTCTAGCATTGTCACCGAATCAATGAACTTCCCTATTCACTTTAGAACAAACTTTCTTATTATTGTATGCTTAAAGGGGTTGGCTAGCTATAATGAACTAAGAGTTTGAAAGTAGTACATGTTCCTGAACATTGCTGAGAGTTTTAGCTGTCCACTTCATGATTGCCGGATGACTACATAATGATCATATCTAATGTTAATGGATGCAAATGCCTTCTCTCCCAGATATATATATATATATATATATATATATATATATATATATATATATATATATATATATATATATATATATATATATATATATATATATATATATATATATATATCCTGTTTCTAAACAGGTAGGTTCAGCAATCTTTTCGAAGACCACCTAAATGCAGCTCAAGGTTCACCAGTGGTTAAGTAACAAGGTGTGAAAACCTTTGGCTTGGGTAATGTCAGCTGTTTACAGTTTATGTACTGCAGTGGTTTGTGTACATTAGTTATTAATCTAAGTAACATAACTGTTTCTTAATTCAAAATAACAAAGCGCATACACTTAAAATGTACATTCACACCGTAAATATGAGTAACATAATTCTTATAATATGTCCACTCCTCTATAACGTTTGAAAAATTATATTTATTTGCTTATGTTATGTATAACTATTAAAACAAAATGATGGACCTTAAAATAAAACTGAAGTATGAAAAAAATGTCTTGGGAAAACCACTAATTCATAAACTAGCATCTAATTGTTTGAGCACCATATCAAAATTATTATAATCCAAACTGTGAGACAGATAAAAATCTCGGTGCAAATATTGTTAGCGAATGGTAGCCTTGCCAATGGTCTTCGTACAATCTAGTACACCACTGCAATATTTCCTTTTTCTATGGTGTTTTGTAGTTCGATAATTCGGCCACCAAACCTGTTACACAGGTATTGATGATGTTATATTTAGCCATGTTTACATATTCAGAATAGTTTGGACTTGTAACTGACTGACCAGATAGTGCTGTGTGTGTGTGTGTGTGTAATTTGGATTTTCAATGTAGCTTTGAAAAATGTTCAGTCATCAGTCATATCATATGACTCCAGTCTATTGATTAAACCAGACAAGACCTGTCACTAATAATTAACAAGTTCCAGCACCAGAGGATGCTATACAACTTGGTATTACATTGTGTCAGTTAGAACTACTGACATACATTAAACATAATACAAGACCAGCATTTATGCAAGGTCCATCAGATATATTTAGTTCCTGTTTAATGCCATTGATTAGCAAATTCTGTGTAAACCATTGATGTTTATTTACTGTTAGTAGAATTTTTTTTTACAGTTAGCAGAAACTTATAAAGCTGGATCTTTCAAATGTGGGGTACATGAATGTTAAAAAGTGTGTCAAATGTGGGGTACATGAATGTTAAAAAGTGTGTCACATGTGGGGTTCATGAATGTTAAAAAGTGTCACATGTGGGTAAATGATGCATTATGGAAAAGTTGTAAGTTCTTTAAATGTTATGCCATGCCCTTAAAGAATATAGGATGCATTTTTATTTACCATTGCTGGGAATGTGGGTTGGGAATGTGAATATCAGTTTAACGAACCCAGTACCTAACCAGAAGCAGCTTAATCTTTTTAAAGCAACATTTTGTTTGCAACAGTGAAATTTAAAAAATTTAAACTGGTCTAAACCTTAAAAAATCCATGATTTTTTAATTATTGACTAAATTTTGGTAAACATGAACAAATAAAGTACAAATGTTGACATGATTACTATAAAGGTGATATTATGAAGAATGAAGTTGAGGGTTAAAGTTCGAAAATTAGAATAAGAGCAGATCTGTTCATTATTACTTATAATATAATTCTTACAGATTTCATGCTGGATTCCCACCCACCCACCTGAGACCATTTTCCTCTGAAGCTGTCAGTTACTGGATGGAATTTTGTTATGTCAGCCATTGTATGTTCTTTCAGAATGGTTGTCTATGTCTGATCTGTGATATTATATAGTATATCCATATTAATAACCTGCATGTTGATGGCTTGATACAAACAACAACATGTATACAGTTTATGAATTTCCCTTGTATCTTATGTACTACTGGCTATATGAAAACATTATACTGTTGTCTCGTTTTACACAGTTTGGAAAATTGTGTTGATTTTCTTTCATTACTTAAAGATTACTTGCAGAAATAACATTTATATTTCGCTTGCAATTATATAAAGTCAAAGATGATGGTGTAAATTGTTAAAACATCTTACACAATATCTGCACTTCTTGCATTTTGAATAGTTTGGTTTTCCATTGCCTGGCTCAGTGTTCAAAGTTGCATTTGTTATTGTTTTACAATTTAGTGCATCTCAGATATTGATTGTTCTACTTATTTGTGGGGAATAATTCCCATGACAACAAGATAATAAAAGAGTTGGGGAAAATTACAATTGCATCTTCAAGCTCTATACATCTAAATATGCAAAATGGTAAAGTGAATTTTTTTACTTCATCCATTTAGACAGATATGATATGATTGTATATAATACAAGTGCTATCCTGGATATGATACAAATGTACACAGTACAAGTGTTATCCTGGATATGATACAAATGTACACAGTACAAATGTTCTGGATATGATACAAATGTACACAGTACAAATGTTCTGGATATGATACAAATGTACACAGTACAAATGTATGTGTTCTGGATATGATACAAATGTACACAGTACAAATGTTCTGGATATGATACAAATGTACACAGTACAAATGTTGTTCTGGATATGATACAAATGTACACAGTACAAAGGTTGTTCTGGATATGATACAAATGTACACAGTACAAATGTTCTGGATATGATACAAATGTACACAGTACAAAGGTTGTTCTGGATATGATACAAATGTACACAGTACAAATGTTCTGGATATGATACAAATGTACATAGTACAAATGTTCTGGATATGATACAAATGTACACAATACAAATGTTCTGGATATGATACAAATGTACACAGTACAAAGGTTGTTCTGGATATGATAAAAATGTACACAGTACAAATGTTCTGGATATGATACAAATGTACACAGTACAAATGTTCTGGATATGATACAAATGTACACAGTACAAAGGTTGTTCTGGATATGATACAAATGTACACAGTACAAATGTTCTGGATATGATACAAATGTACACAGTACAAATGTTGTTCTGGATATGATACAAATGTACACAGTACAAAGGTTGTTGTTGTTGGGCTTAACGCCAGTTTTCAGCACACGATAGGCTATTCATGGCGGCCAGTATTAATGGTGGAGGAAGAAACCGGGAAATCACCAGAAAGAACCACCGACCCACGAGAAGCTACTGGCAAGCTTTCTCACATATCCACATTCGCCGAATCCTAGACTCGAACCCACGCAGACAGAGGTGCAGTACAAAGGTTGTTCTGGATATGATACAAATGCACACAGTACAAATGTTCTGGATATGATACAAATGTACACAGTACAAATGTTGTTCTGGATATGATACAAATGTACACAGTACAAATGTTGTTCAGGATATGATACAAATGTACACAGTACAAAGGTTGTTCTGGATATGATACAAATGTACACAGTACAAATGTTCTGGATATGATACAAATGTACACAGTACAAATGTTGTTCTGGATATGATACAAATGTACACAGTACAAAGGTTGTTGTTGTTGGGCTTAACGCCAGTTTTCAGCACACGATAGGCTATTCATGGCGGCCAGTATTAATGGTGGAGGAAGAAACCGGGAAATCACCAGAAAGAACCACCGACCCACGAGAAGCTACTGGCAAGCTTTCTCACATATCCACATTCGCCGAATCCTAGACTCGAACCCACGCAGACAGAGGTGCAGTACAAAGGTTGTTCTGGATATGATACAAATGCACACAGTACAATGTTCTGGATATGATACAAATGTACACAGTACAAAGTTGTTCTGGATATGATACAAATGTACACAGTACAAATGTTGTTCGGATATGATAAATGTACATCGTCAAAAGTTTTGGTCTGGGTATGAATCAAATTTAAAGTAACCAAATATTCTGGATTTGATAATCTCAGTTACAAAGTTTGATATGCAGTCCATGTCAAATTTTTTTATATAGTACTAAATGATAACAACGTCAAAAAATTTGTTTTGGTATGGAAGTACAAAAGAAAAGGTACAATGTATGGTTTTGGCTACGGATATTGAAAGGACAGTGAAACAAGGATGAGTAGTCTGGAAATGTACAAAGATGCTGTCAGAAGAATTAACGTAATGTTAAGAGACTTACATTTTAAGTTATTTGCATTAATAAAAGATGTACACTTGTACATTGTTTGTGTTGCTACTATCTGTCAGTGTCATTGTCATTCGCTCTTGTTGGACTTTAATGTCATACACCTTGTGAGTACAAAGTCCATTCCGGATATGATATGAATTTTACATAGTACAATGTGTTCAGGAAAAATTCGTAATGTAGCAATCATGCTCGAATGAAAAAAACGTTTAATGTCTATGATGAACACATCTATATA